CCCCCCCCCCCCCGTCTTCTGGCCTGCCCGAGTGACTTTTGGCTTCACTCTCCTTCACTTACATCTGATAGCCTCTTTTCCCTGGGCACTTCCTCTATGGCCTGCTGTGCCTGCATTTTGGAGTAGGCCCAGTTGTTTCAGGCCTACTGCCTGCCAGCTTGATAGGGGTTGAGACAGGTTTGAAATTCTTCAGGGTGGTAGAAGTAATATAGTCAGTTCGGTCAAGATTTTGAAGACAATATTTTTATGCCCTCTGCATGCACTTGATACATAAAATGAACATTGATTTTTCTCTAGTGTCAGTATCCCAGCATTAACTTCACTAACACACTCCGCTGCACCTGAATTTGGACCTTCACATTTTTGGAAGTATGATGCTTGAGCCTAGTAAATAAAGCACTTTTGACTGAAAAGTTTTATAATAATTTATATTTTTCTTCCTCTGTTATTACATAGCTAGCATCAGTAAATTAAATGTGTAAATTCTTTTTAGCGTTTGTTACTAGGCAATAAACTTTATAAATTTTTTTTTTTTTTTTTGGTACCGGGGATTGAACTCGGGTCCTTGTGCTTGCAGGGCAGGCAGCACTGGAACCACTGAGTTAAATCCCGGGCCCTATAAATATTGTAAGTGTTTAAACATTTTTTTCCTCAGAAATTGTTACCTTGAGAAGAATTTATGAAAGTTTTCTTTGTAGAAACTCAGACTACTGAACTCAGTTTTTGGTCTGTGACCAGTATTTCTTCATATATCATATTAATGAATGGTATTACTACATTTTGTAATTAAATACTGAAGCTGCATTATTTGCAGAATTGTGGTTTAGTTGGTACTCTTTGGAGTAAAATAAAAACCTTATAAACTCTTGAGTTTTATGTGGATTTTCAAAATCTTGCCTCTAGACCTTGAGTATTCCATATTAGAGGGTGAAAAAGACTTAAAAGAAAAAAACATAGTAAGTTTTGGGTGAGAAGATTTTGATTAAAAATGCATAAATTCATATTCAGTGCTCTAGTACAGATACAGTGATGAAAGCAAAACAAATCAAAAGAGCATTTGGCCACAGCATGAAAATGCATATCAAATACGAAGTCGAATAGGATAAACATGACAATAGGTATATATATTTGATTAAAATGCTCAGATTGTTTAAAAAACCTTTTCAAAAGACTTTAAAAAATGTCTTTTTGACAAACAGCTTTACGGAAATGGTTTTCATTTTCATATAGCACATTTAATCTATCTTGTTACAATTCAAGCACACGCTACACTCGTTTTGGCTTCTGTGCTTTTCTTCAGGATATACCCTTCACCTGGAATGCCCTTCTACTGATCCTCATTGCTTCAGCTCCTTTTCAAAGATGATATAGCATAATCTATGAGTTTCAGTTTTCTCATCTGCAAAGTGATGGAGCTGAGTGCATCTTTCAGATTCTGAAAGTTCTGAAATTCTGTTGCGTCTAGTGGCACTGTAAGTTTCTTGAAACTGTACTCAGCCTGTTGGATTTTCCTGTAAAAAGGGTACACTGTTGAATTGTTGAGTACTTAGAGGTCATTTTGATTTGAGGTCATAGTCAAAAGAGTGTCAACTTGGAATTAAGCAAACCTCAGCTTTAAATCTTAGGTGTTAGTCTGTGACTTTGGACCAGTCACTTCTCTGATGATATATCTTTTTTTTTTTTTTTTTTGGTGGGGGGGTACCGGGGATCAAACTCTGGTCCTTGCGCTTGTGCAGCAGGCGGCGAAACCACTGAGCTAAATCCCCGGCCTCTGATGGTACCTCTTTATCCAAAAGGGGTAATACTATTACTTCTCTTGATTGGTTGGGGTAAGAAGATGAGATAAGGTAAATAAAGCATCTGAGTCATTGTAGAGTTTTAATTAAAGGCAGTAACTATGATAGGGTTCCTTTTACGTCCAAGATTCTTGAGATTCTTTGAAAGTGCCATATACTATAGTATAAAGAGCATGTGCTTTGGAACCAAACAGACCTGGGTTTGGATCCTAGCTGTAATTGTCAGTAACCATGTAGCTTTGGACAAGTCACTGTTGATTGTTTGCTTATTCAGTGTATCTGGATAATACAGCCTAGTAGTAAGACTTTTGAGATTTATTTAAGTAAACTTTGTAAGTGCCTAATAAACTTTGACAGCATTTGCACTTAGTAGTAGCTATTTTAGAGCTGTTCAAGAGAATGGATGTAAAAACTTACGCAGTCTTAAAATAACTAGATAAATATGAGAGCATGTTGTATTCCCACAAGTGTGCACACTAATAGAGTGCATGTACTGGGAAATTGGGGTCCTGAGTTCTGACCCATTGCCTGTGAGATTTTTGTTTAGTTTTTTTTTTTTTAAGACTTTTTTTTAGTTCATCTCTATATATTTCTTGGTTTGAAACCGTCACCTTATCTCCTTTGAGCATGGGAATTCAGTTTTTAAACAATATGTTTTTAGCTTGGTTGGTTAAAACATGAACTCATGATGCTCAAACTCCATTTTTGAATTGCAGATGGTGTTAATTCAACTTGGCTGGAGAAAACTTTCAAACTTTGATCAGTTTTCTAACATTTAGGCCATTGGTTGTAAGAAACAATAGTATACCAAAATGAAGTCACTCCTGGCAAACTCACTCTGAGTTGTTCCCCAGTATCTGATTTTCACCTTCATTTTTCTTAATATAAATAGAGTAACGATTAGTGAGCAAAGAGTTTCAGTAACTGGGCTGAATTTATGAATAGATCTTGTTTTTCCATGTTTTTCTTGTTGAGGTCCATAATAGCTAACAATTAAAGGACCTATTAGAATTTTAAGTTCATAGTTTCTTCTCACCTCTCAGATATTTTCATAATATTTATAGGGTCTTGTTTTCTCCTTTATTCTCAGCAACTGTTACATTTTCCTCCCTTCCATAAAATAACCTGTGTTCTCACACCTGATTCCAACTTTGAATCTGACACTACCCATATGGATTAGATGAAAGGCTGCCCTCTTGCTTTGGCTGCTTCTCTATGTCTAAAATAAATTTCTAGTTATAGAAAGACCAAATAATTTTATTACTCACATTACTTGTGCATAACAGGATTTTGGTGACCACCTGCTGTCTGCTTTGAAAGTATACTTATTTGTTCTTTTGGATTTCTTTTGGTACCGGGGATCGAACTCGGGTCCTTGTGCTTGCGCAGCAGGCGATGAAACCACTGAGCTAAATCCCCAGCCCTGAAAGTATGCTTATGACTCAATCTTTCACAAGTTTATCTGAAACATCAAAGTTGTGAGTGAACTCTACTAGAGCAAATACCAGTTTCAATGAGTATCATTTTCAAAGTAATATTTATTACCTTGGTTTCCAGACATAAGCAAATATTTACAGCTGGCCTTGAAGTTATAAGCTGAAATTCATAGGTGCCAGTTATGGCACCATGGATACCTATATGGTACACATTTCATGCTTTGGGAGGTTTTTGGCAGTTGAGAGCCCCTAAATGAAGAAATCACTTAACATGGGGTGTTAATTGAAGATTCTGGAGAGAGTATGTTAGCAGATACTACAAATACAGTCAGCCATTGGGAGTGTTGAGGAATGTTGTACAATAGTAGATGATTGGTCTCTTTAAACTTTAGATGATGTGAATCTCTTGGGTATGGTACCATCTTAAGCTTGTTAGGATTTTTAAAAGACAGAACTTCATGGTTTCTACTAATGACAAATGCTAAGAAACAAGTGGCAAACTACAACATAAACTAAGAATTACATATTTTGTATGTATCTTTCTGTGGGTGTTTGGTATTTTCCCTGTGTCCCATTCCCTTTAAACAAGTAATTGGGTATAATTTCTCTCAAATAATAATGGCAGTTTTTGGAGCTTGGGTCTTAAGACAGTTGGAAAGCAAACCCAAACAAGATGAAGAGAGAAAAAAGGGCCTCATTTCTTAAATCAACTTAATAAGACACACCTGGAAGAAAATCTGTTAGGCGTATAGGGATCTGATTTGTTTCTGTCTCATGTGACTCCTGGCTTTCTTAGAGAAGAGCAGCCTTGAATGAATTCCCCTCTTCCTTTTGATCTGCTACTTGAGTGTAGAATAGTTTTTCTTGTCTCTCTGTCTCTGAGAAAATAACTAGATTCTGGATTGGTAGGCAGTGTGTTTGTGCTAATTTTCAATAAGACCAAACAAAGTGGGTGGGAACAGATGAGTGGGAAGACTAGACGATGACACACATCCTCTTCTCTGGAATGCACCGGTGTGTTAAGTAGTGCCAGTTTAAACTTAGGATGGTGAACTTGCTTGAATTTGTCTTTAGAAGCAGTAGAGAAGAAGGGTGGATGGGCAAGGTCCATCCTGAGTGTGGTAGGTCTGCTTCTCTCTCTTGTTTATTTTTGTGGTGCTAGGGGTTGAGCCCGTGGCCTAGCTCTTTGTAGGTAA